ATGACTACTGCCGTCATTATTGCTGGTGGAGACGGAGTGAGTATCAAGTCCAAGTGATGAGAAGGTGAGGAAGTGGCTTATTTGGAAATGGTTGGAAGTTATAAAATTTTGACTATTTTATTTTTATGAGTGTTGTGCATTGATTTTGTAGTCACTTACTAGCATGAGCTGGAAGTGTAGATACAAATAAGTAAAAAGAAAATGTAAACTAAATAGAAAAGGACTTGTTTATCTTTTTATGTTTTTAATTGTTAAAGCTATGCTCCAGTATCTTATAAAGATTTGGTATTTGTTGATTTTTTTTCAGAGTCCCTGTGAATTTACATTGTTTCTAGGGCTAGATTAATTAGCCATTTTTTTTACTACAAAGGGTTGGAGTTGATGTTCAAAAATGCTGGATAACTCTCCATCAAGTGTGATGGATGCTAACAATTCAATTGGGCCATTATAAATCTTAAAAATCAGATGCTAATTTGGATAGCCAAATTAGATGGGGCGACCTATTTGATTCTGACAGTCAATTCAATTTTTTGTCTTAGGCTGAACTTGAATGAAGAGGCATAGATGGTTTGTTCTGTATTACCAGTTACCTTGTAGGTTTGATTTGTGTGTTTTTATAAAAAGGAAAAGATGTCCTGGACAGGACAATTGTCTTTTACTGGTCGTCTTATTGGTGAATTCACCTTGGAACCTGAAACTAAGTGTCTCGTCTTTCTCGTGAATTCTCCTGATTGGCAGCATGCAAAATCAGGGGTGTGCTTTTGACTTCTGAGGTTTGACATCTTATGCGAGTTTTGAATCTTTTACGCCCTTTGCTGTGGAAGATATACCTCCTTGCTTCTGGCTTTGAATGACTTGATTTCAATGATGCCACTTTCAAAGGAAAGTGTTTGAACTAGGACTTTTTCCAGCCTCTATGGTCTTCTGCTTTATTTTATTTTATTTTTTCATTTTCTCTCTCTCATCAAGACGATCATTCACCCTTGATAGCTTTTGACTAGTTCCTCAATTTATTGATTATAGGACTTGATAAAAATTTACATCATGACATATGGTAATACTCAATTTTCTTTGTTAACCAGAATGACCAATCTACCGTATTGTTTAACTGTTTCCCCAATTTACTCAGCACTCGTGTTGAACATTTGTGCCCATCAAAGTGTTCGACTTCTTTGGAGTAGAGTCGAAGTGTATCTGCTTCATCAATGCAGTGCTGCTTGGGATGTAAACCCCATGAACTGAATACAGGCTCCTCCCTCCAGAGTTCAGTATTCAAGGGAGGTCTCACTTTTGCTAGCTCATCCAGCCCTGAATGTTCTTGGTATATGTAAGTCGTTACTTGTGGCTTTGCTCAATCAAGAGTTTTCTTAGTTATAGGAATTGGCTTTAGTATTAGACATTTTGATCGTCACTTAATTTCTTCTGCAGTATATTGAGTCACCGGCAATGGTATTGTCGTCGTTGTCGTTCATGTGAACAATGGGTGTTGCAGTATAACAGATTTTAAAAGCTAGGTTTCATGCTGTTATGTAGTTTCCCAAACACGACACCGAAATTGTTGGGCAACTCCTCTGAACGTATTGGGTGTTGGATGTCAATGACTGAATATTGGTTTGATGTTTCTTTGTAACCATAAAAAACCCCATAAAACAGATGCAAGTTAGCCTACTGCACTGGAAAGGAGTGGAGCTGGTGGTTAGACTTTGACGAATGATGTTCAATTTAACTTCATATTTTCAGCCTGTTTGGGAGTGAATTTTTAGCCCAAAAAATTGATTTTTTGATCGTTATTTCACTATTTCAGCCATCATATTTGATTTCTTTTCTCACAGGTGAACCCTACTTTTTTCCTAACGGTCAAAAAATCAATTCTCAAAATCACTCCCAAACAGGCTTTTTGAGTTTGAAACTTGAACAAAGAGCAATACATGGATTACNTCAAAATTTTCAGTTATTAAAAATCACCTTTTTGAGAGCATTCGAAAGAGAATGACTGCTGCTTTGATTTAAACATTCCACACCCGACCAGTTCACAAAGTCCAGTAGATCAACCTACACACATCGTCAAATTTACAAGATTAAAAGTCAAAGCTGCAAAAAAGTCGAAAAAGAAGGTGTATAAGAACTTCAAGCAATAACGAATCGGTGTTACCTGACTTCTTTGAATGCCAGAGGATGATTCGGCTGACATGGTTGATGATAGAGAGAGAACAGGACAAAATGACTAAGATTTAGGGGGAAATATATTTGAGCTATTCGAATACAGAAAATAGCAGCGAAAGTCCTAGAGTCCCTTTTGAGGGATGATAAACAAATGTCATCCTCTAACTTTTAGCCAAATTTCATTTTAGTCATGTAACTTAATTTTATTTCATTTTAGTCATTTAACTTTTTCACTACTAAAATTAAAAGCGAATTTCAACGGCATAAAAAATTAGAAAACGACCCTCTTCACTGAAAGATCAGGCAAGAGGAGCACGGTCCAAATTCTACACCCATGGCAACCACCTTATCCCTCCTCTCTCCAATCTCCCTCTCCTTTAACCACAGCAATGCCACCGCCGTCTCCGCCCGTCGCCTTAGTCTAGGCTCTTCATCCCTTAACCAGCGGAATCCTTCTAAATTCGTCATCAAAGCCCTCTCCACTCCTTCACCAGCCTTGATCCAAGATGATCTCAAGAAACTGGCTGCTGATAAAGCCGTGGAATATGTTAAGAGTGGTATGGTTCTTGGGTTGGGTACTGGTTCAACCGCCGCCTTCGTGGTGACCAAGATCGGCGATTTGATCAAGTCTGGCGAGCTTACTGATATCGTCAGTGTGCCCACCTCGAAGCGGACTCAGGAGCAAGCTGCTAGCCTTAACATTCCATTGTCAACCCTCGATGCCCACCCTCATCTGGACTTGGCCATAGACGGAGCAGACGAGGTCGACCCGAATCTTGATCTGGTTAAGGGCCGTGGTGGGGCCCTTTTGCGTGAGAAGATGGTTGAAGCCGCCTCGGATAAGTTTGCGGTTGTGGTAGATGACTCGAAGCTGGTGGACGGCCTTGGTGGGTCGGGTCTGGCAATGCCCGTGGAAGTGGTGCAATTCTGTTGGAAATACAATTTGTTGAGGCTACAGGAGTTGTTCAAGGAAGAAGCGTGCGAAGCAAAGCTGAGATTGGATGGTGATGGGAAGCCTTATGTGACTGATAACATGAATTACATTGTGGACTTGTATTTCAAGACGCCCATAAAGGATTCGACTGCGGCCGGTAAGGAAATTGCGGCTTTCGAAGGGGTGGTTGAGCATGGGTTGTTCTTGGATATGACTACTGCCGTCATTATTGCTGGTGGAGACGGAGTGAGTATCAAGTCCAAGTGATGAGAAGGTGAGGAAGTGGCTTATTTGGAAATGGTTGGAAGTTATAAAATTTTGACTATTTTATTTTTATGAGTGTTGTGCATTGATTTTGTAGTCACTTACTAGCATGAGCTGGAAGTGTAGATACAAATAAGTAAAAAGAAAATGTAAACTAAATAGAAAAGGACTTGTTTATCTTTTTATGTTTTTAATTGTTAAAGCTATGCTCCAGTATCTTATAAAGATTTGGTTTTTATTGATTTTTTTTCAGAGTCCCTGTGAATTTACGTTGTTTCTAGGGCTAGATTAATTAGCCATTTTTTTTACTACAAAGGGTTGGAGTTGATGTTCAAAAATGCTGGATAACTCTCCATCAAGTGTGATGGATGCTAACAATTCAATTGGGCCATTATAAATCTTAAAAATCAGATGCTAATTTGGATAGCCAAATTAGATGGGGCGACCTATTTGATTCTGACAGTCAATTCAATTTTTTGTCTTAGGCTGAACTTGAATGAAGAGGCATAGATGGTTTGTTCTGTATTACCAGTTACCTTGTAGGTTTGATTTGTGTGTTTTTATAAAAAGGAAAAGATGTCCTGGATAGGACAATTGTCTTTTACTGGTCGTCTTATTGGTGAATTCACCTTGGAACCTGAAACTAAGTGTCTTGTCTTTCTCGTGAATTCTCCTGATTGGCAGCATGCAAAATCAGGGGTGTGCTTTTGACTTCTGAGGTTTGACATCTTATGCGAGTTTTGAATCTTTTACGCCCTTTGCTGTGGAAGATATACCTCCTTGCTTCTGGCTTTGAATGACTTGATTTCAATGATGCCACTTTCAAAGGAAAGTGTTTGAACTAGGACTTTTTCCAGCCTCTATGGTCTTCTGCTTTATTTTATTTTATTTTTTCATTTTCTCTCTCTCATCAAGACGATCATTCACCCTTGATAGCTTTTGACTAGTTCCTCAATTTATTGATTATAGGACTTGATAAAAATTTACATCATGACATATGGTAATACTCAATTTTCTTTGTTAACCAGAATGACCAATCTACCGTATTGTTTAACTGTTTCCCCAATTTACTCAGCACTCGTGTTGAACATTTGTGCCCATCAAAGTGTTCGACTTCTTTGGAGTAGAGTCGAAGTGTATCTGCTTCATCAATGCAGTGCTGCTTGGGATGTAAACCCCATGAACTGAATACAGGCTCCTCCCTCCAGCGTTCAGTATTCAAGGGAGGTCTCACTTTTGCTAGCTCATCCAGCCCTAAATGTTCTTGGTATATGTAAGTCGTTACTTGTGGCTTTGCTCAATCAAGAGTTTTCTTAGTTATAGGAATTGGCTTTAGTATTAGACATTTTGATCGTCACTTAGTTTCTTCTGCAGTATATTGAGTCACCGGCAGTGGTATTGTCGTCGTTGTCGTTCATGTGAACAATGGGTGTTGCAGTATAACAGATTTTAAAAGCTAGGTTTCATGCTGTTATGTAGTTTCCCAAACACGACACCGAAATTGTTGGGCAACTCCTCTGAACGTATTGGGTGTTGGATGTCAATGACTGAATATTGGTTTGATGTTTCTTTGTAACCATAAAAAACCCCATAAAACAGATGCAAGTTAGCCTACTGCACTGGAAAGGAGTGGAGCTGGTGGTTAGACTTTGACGAATGATTTTCAATTTAACTTCATATTTTCATCCTGTTTGGGAGTGAATTTTTGGCCCAAAAAATTGATTTTTTGATCGTTATTTCACTATTTCAGCCATCATATTTGATTTCTTCTCTCACAGGTGAACCCTACTTTTTTTCTAACGGTGAAAAAATCAATTCTCAAAATCACTCCCAAACAGGCTTTTTGAGTTTGAAACTTGAACAAAGAGCAATACATGGATTACTACTAATTACCTCGGAGCAATGGCTTGACAGTTTTTGTAGAAGGGAAAAGAGGATAGATGTCTTGAAAGGACACGTGTCTTTTATCAACTTCATTGATGAAGCTTCCTTGGAACTTGAAATGAGTCATTTCACTTGCATCGGAACTTCCCCGTGTTAATATGAGTTGATTAGTACATTTGTGTTGAGTTCAACACCTTTCCGATGAGCTTTTTTTCTGATGAACTTGCTGCCGCAGTGTCTTTAGGACACTGTTTTATACAACCATTTTCTTGGCCATTTGATTTTAATGGATTATTTATCCTCAAGCTGGGCATTTTGCTTCGTATACCTTAATCTTCGTTCAGTTCTATATGGCCCTATCATCTCATCTCAATGATTTAGACCATGGCTTTTATTTGTCACGCTAACTTCATGGAACAAAGGTCTCACAGGATATAATAGTAATGTTTGTTTTCCTTGCTTCATATTGTTTTCCAAGTACAACTTTTGTTGGCTGAGCTATTCGACTGTGTTGCAGAGTTATTGAACGTTTTTATTTTTTCTACGAACATCTGCTGGGCAGCAGTGTCATCATTTTGTAAATTAACTCAACTTTCATTGCTTAGTATGTCTCGGCCTTCTTTTAGAACTACTTGTGGAGTGAAAATGATTTTGATGGAGTGCATTGGGGTACATTTGAGTTAGCAGGATGTTGATTTACTAAATTTGGACAGGTCTTCCTCTCAAGATTAGTTTGTTTATAGAAGTTAAAAAGTTATGTCGTGTGATGAGGACGACAAGACACACTTTTGGTAATCTGCAATGGATTGCATTCGGTCCTTTAGAGCCCTGCGACTATCAGCGTACTAATCTTGAATTCGACTTTCCTTAAGACGAGAAAATGAAGTCATTTTGCTCCGTGATGTCAGTATTATGTTCATCTACAAGGTTAAACGGTCCAGAAGCCAGGGCAGCTGCTTCTATACATACCTGTTCAAAACCAGTTGCTCACAATCTTGAAAGCTTTTGCTTGATTCTCTCTGATATCTCTGCTTGCTATACATTACTGCCTCTGTACATATCTGTAAATTTAGGTTCACCCGAGTTTTAATGAGAGGACATGGTGCACGGGTTGCAAATCGATCGGGCTTGTCAACTCCTGTCAAATATATTATTTAATTATTTTTATTGTATTTTATGATAAAATAGTGTGCCATTGGCATTCACCAAATTAAACAAATAGAGGTGGATAATAGTCATAAATCGTATTAAAAAAGATATGATTAACATGAAGTTAACAATGCATAGTAATTGCACACTAAGGGTTTGTTTGAGTCCTATTTTTTTGAAAAATAGATTTTGTAATAGTAATTTTCTGGAGAATGCGGTTAAAATGTAAGAAAAGTTTTTGGTTCTTTTTTAAATTTATCATATTGGGAGATTCTATAGTTAAAAATGAGTTTTTAAATAATGAAACTTGG